CCAGAAGATTTTTTAGAAGAAAAACGCCGCACAGAGGAGACAAACACGGCATTGGGTCTCAATGGGAAATCACATGAACTTGAAACCAAAGGTCAATGTTATAGAAAGAGGTAAAATGGTGGCGCTGCCTTGGGGGTAAGGATGATTGTCGAGTGAAATTAAGAAAAGTTTGTACAACAAAACGGTTAGAGTTTGTTGATTGCTAGTTACACAGCGATGAAGAAGTCTAGAGTCTAGCGGTCAAAACACTGTTTGTTATGGTGTCCTGGCAAATTATCAGAGAGTAGATTTTAGGTATTCCCCTCCTTCCCCCCCCAACACTGGTCACTTTCTATATATGGAATGATTGGATGCATCAATTTTACTTGACTGTCATGACCTCTCATGGTTATTATCTATATAATAAATATATCCATTTTATACCTGAGGTATATATAGTAAAAAATAGGTCTAATGCCAGAAAAATTCCATTCAAGTTTTCTCGTAGCATTTTTAACTGTGGTCGAGTAGCGAGCCGGAAATTTTCTTGCCCAGTTCCTCGTAGGTTCCAACGGGGGGGCCAAAGAGAACGCTTGCATAAGATTCCTTAGATGGCAAGGCACATGGGGTCATCAGCACGCATGGTGCTATGCGTGTGCCTTCACCTGGCTGTGCTGGCGGCGGGGCGTAGTCTGTGCTGTGTGTGCACAGCTCATGCACCCAGGTCAGGAGGGTTAATTTTGGGAAGAACAGGAATGTCAGTCAGTGAAGAAACACAATGTCTGCCCTCTGTCCTCCTCCCTCCCCAAATTGCCTGCAAGCAATCGCGATGTAATGATGGACGAGGATGTTAAGGTACGATTGCTCTGGAATTCTTTGGCCTTGTTCTTTTACAATGTGCACCTAAGGACATCTGGCCAGACTGCTGCTGATAGGCAAGAAGGAATGACACGACGTGCTGGTCTGCCAATTTGGAGCAACAAATATCTGCTGTGAATGGCAGATATGAGCCTGCAGGCCAAGTGGGCTCCGACAAGTTTGGACGCCTGGGTATGGGATCCAGGACCAAAACAAAAGCACGCTGAACGTTTTTGGATTTGGTTGCACACATTTTAAATTGGGATTTTTAGGCGACCCCATTAAGAATTAGGTAAGCATGTGTCTTCTTCCAGCTGAGTGCTCCACAGTTCTCAGCAACCTCCCAAACCCTAAGGTCTGCCGTTTTTCTCTGACTGTAATATATGACTAAATATACATAATATTATTATATTATTTATGTCGGGTACTGGGCGTTTAACTTAGGCCGACACTTTGAGCCACTCCACCCTAGGTTTCCTGTTTTTTTGTGTTGAGTATTTTCAGATTATTTGTCCCAGGCTGGCTTTGAACCGCGATCCTCCGATCTTCTGCCTCCTGAAGTAGCAGCTAGGATCACAAGGCTTGAGCCACCATTCATTATATCATTCCATATTTCTAACATGACCTTTTTGGGGGGGTCCATAGGTTTTAAGGTATTGCAAACCTAACTACTCTCAGTCATGCTTCCTGCTGCTTGTCTTGGTTAAGCCACTGGGACTGCCTGCCTGGCAACAAGAACGGTCTGCTGAACTGAATTAAAGCGGTGGGAAGTAAGAAGGCCTGGCTAAGTCACTCTAGAGGAAAGCAGCTCAAGATGGCTCCTCTTAATGACCACAGATATCCCCCCACAATACTGTTGGAACCTAGACCTAGACCTGCTTTTATTGTTTTCTATAGGAACAAGCTTGGTCAGGCTGGGTTTGCCCCAGGACTTCAGAGATAACAAGGATGAATCAGAGAAAAAAAATGAATGACATTCCCTCTTGCCGACTGTTAGAAAGAAAAGGAACGGCAGACAAGGAAACCCACAGGGGAAAAAGCAGCACCATAAGAAACCAGGTGCAGGTGCAGGCCTGAAAACTACTGTCCTAACTCTCTTATCAGCCAAGTGTCCCCCACCTGGGTGTAGGCCTCAGGGGCTTCCAGTGTTGCCCAGCATTTATAAAGAGGACAGCAAGGTTAAAGAGCGCTGGCTGACATCATTTAGCAACCAACACCACCAAACAGGTGTTGGCGAGGATATTGTGGGGAAAAGGAACCCTCTTACACTTGGTGGGGATCGTGATGAGACTTAGTACAACCATTCTGGAAAAAATTTGGAGGCTACTTAAAAGCCTGGACACGATCTACCATGTGAAGTCCAAGCAAGACCCACTCTTCGGGATTATACCAAAAGACGTGACACAAGGTTACTCCAGAGGCACTTGTACACCCATGTTTATTGCAGCACGAATTTCACAAGCACTATTTACACAATAAGCAAGTGATGGAAACAAGCCAAGAACTGGCCCACACTGACCAAAAATGGATTAAGAAATGTGAGCAGTATCTATAACAAATGGAATTTATGCAGCCATGAGGAAGAATGAAATGTTATTTATCATTCGCTGGGGGGGTTAAAATGGAATTTGGAATTGGGGAAGGGAGGAACATCATCTGAGTGAGGGTAGCCTGGCCCAAAAGCCCAAAAATCGTTTATGTTCTGCCCTCATATGTGACATTTTAGAATTCAAGTGCACCAACACAAACAAGGGATTGGACCTTTGAGCACATGATAAAAGCAGAGCACACAAGGAGGGGTTGAGGATAGGTAAGACACCAAAAAATTAGCTAACATTTGTTGCCCTTAACACAGAGAAACTAATAGCAGATACCTAAAGCAACTGAGGCCAATAGGAAAAAGGGGACCAGGAACTAGAGAAAAGGTGAAGATCAAAAAGAATTAACGTTAGAAGGTAACACCCACGCACAGGAAAAAATCAATGTAGAGTCGATGCCCTGTATAGCTATCCTTATCTCACAAAAAAGCCCTTGTCCTTCCTATTATTGCTTATACTCTCTCTACAACAAAATTAGAGATAAGGGCGCAAAATAGTTTCTGCTGTATTGGGGGTGGGGGGAGAGGGAGGGGTGGGGGCAGGGGGAGAAATGACCCAAGCCTTGTATGCACAGATGAATAAAAAAAGAGCGCTGGCTGAGATCAAATGGGGTGGAGGAAAGGGGAAAGACAGTGGATTTTAATTTTATTTTGTTTTAGCAACAAGAGGAGGGCCCTGGTGCTGGCTAGGCAAGTGCTGGGCGACTGAGCTGCGTCCGCCAGCCTCCAGGCAAGTGGTTTTCCAACATGGAATAGCCATGCTCTTCCTAGGAGATGCTGGGGAAGTCTGTATGGCTGAGCACAAGAGCTCAGGGCTGTGCTTCAGGAGAGCCATTTAGATCAGTGCTTTGCAGGTTATTGTCTGGGGGACCCTAGATTGTCCTCATCTGTGTAAATGGGATGGGATGGGCACCTGCCTCACAGGGTTTTAATGAGTGAGCTCTCGTAAAGTGCTCAGCCTGGCTTTTCTAACAACTGTGGGCTGTCGTGAAATAGTGGCTCTTCCTAGTGTTAGTAGTAGGCACGAACGTCCTCATGCTGTGACATGTCCATCACGGTTGTCACCAAAAATCATCACCCTGCTCCTTCAAAGCACCAGCCTGTCAGGCGGCCTTCAGTGCAACGCAAACATGTAACCCGGATGTCGATTAGCGGGTAAATGAACGCACTTCAAACTGATAGGCAAGGTTCCGGGAGCAGCTCGGGCTGCTGTGTGATTAGGACTCTGCTTGGGGAAGTGTGAGGACTCTAGGCTCTGGGAGAAAAGGAGACAAATGTTACCCACTGTACTCAGAAGGCTGTGATTGGGAGAATCTTGGTTCAAGACTACCCTGGGCAAAAAGTCAGTGAGACTCCCTGTCTCAACAAACAAGCCAGGTGTTGCTTGTGTAGATCTGTGATACCCAATTAATATAGGTAAGAAAGGATCATAGTCTGAGGCCAGCCTCAGGCAAAAGTGTGAGAGCCCTATCAAAAAAAAACTAAAAGTAAAAAGGGCTGAGGGTGTGGCTCAATTGGTAGAGTGACTACCTAGCAAGTGTGAAGCCCTGAGTTCAAACCCCAGTACCATCAACCCTGCCCCCCCCACAAAAACAACAACAAAACTACACCCACGACATGTGTTGGTGTGTATGAGATGTAGGATAGCCACGCTTAAGTCTGTGGTTGAGTTGCCATGTGCCAAGTGCCTATTAAAATTTTCAATCTGGGTCAGAGAAACCCTGGGGCACGGGTGGGGTCTGGCTGCCATAGGGTGGGGGTGTATGGAAGGAACCTAGACCTTTTGAGGGGTCAGCCATCCCCCGTGGCCTGACATCACTGGTATTGCCCAGTCTGTGTGAAGGAAACTCTCCTTAGCACAGCATTTGTAAAAAGCGAGGCAGGGGCCTCAGAAATCAGACCGCGGCCTGAGGGGAAGCCTGTAGGTGCCTCCCCCTTGGCCTCTGCGAGGTCTGCGTTTGGGGAGGAACGTGGGTCTGATTGTTGCAGACAGATGCTGTGTTCTTTCCTCCCAGGCAGATGGGCCAGGGGAGGAGGAGGTAGGGGTGGCTGTGCGGGAGGAGGTGACATTTGTAAATATGTCAGAGGACAGTGCACATTCAGAAGATGAAGTGATCTTTCTAAAGGATGTGCAGGTCTGGAAAGACAGGGTATCTGTGGAATATCGATTCTTGGTTCTCTATACTTGGATGAAAGATCAGCCATGGGGAACAGTGAATAGTTTCAATCTCTTACCATATAACATGTTTTAACAGAGCTGCTGACAATTTGCAAAATGAACCATCATTTTCCCCCTTTCCATCATCACAAGGCCAACTAGCAGGCAGCAGGAGGAGGGAGGAGGAGCCATGAGTGACTTGGGCTGACCTACAGCCAGCAGTAGTCTCCAAAGAATCGAGCCTAAGTGCAGCTCCGTGGCTGGTGTTGCCCTGGTGCTGCTGCCTGGAACAGGCTCTCCCTAGCCAAGCCCTGCAGGCTACAGCAAGCATCAAGCTAAGTGAGTGTCACACCTCAGTGCAGTGCCACCATGCTGCCTTCCTGGGACCTCCCTGGCTGTCCTCCTTACCCCTTCGTCCAGTGGAACCTTCACCTCCAGAGACAGAGAACCTGTTTCCCCATTGATCATGGCTGTTCTCAGCTTCAGGAGGAAAGAAATGGCATTAGTGCCTTGACTCACAGAGCAGGGAAGGTAGGGGCTTTACTGATCAGATTTCAAGGGATGCCTGCGGACATTGGCTTCTTCCCTTTTCCTTGTAAGCGTGACACCAGGAGGGATGACAGACCTGGTTCTGGTGTCATTTAACTCAGAATTCTGGGTTCTTACCCTGGCAATGGGGGACTGATGCAGTGGGGTACACAGTGTCACATTGTTGAGACATAATTTCATCTAAGATGCAATACTGAGACAAAAGCCAAGCTAAAACATCACTGACATATAGACATGGTTCATTCCATCTCAGTGTTCTTGTGACTCAGAAAGGGACAGCACTATTTCATAGTTGCTGGAAGAATCAGCCAGTCCAAGGAATTGCTTCTGGCTTAGGCTCAGTAGGGGCTCCAGGATTGAACCTCTCTGGCTGAGATGCACAGAGTAACCAAAGCTTCCAGCCCCTCGTTGGTGGGATAGTGAGCTAAACAAAGCAGCACCTCTTCCCCACTCACAGTTTCAGCTTGGTCCTCCCACTCGACTTCAGAGAGGTCCACACTGTTGTAGTTGGGCTTGGGTTTCAGCTTCTTCCCCTCTCTGTACTGGAGCAGGAGGAAAACAGATCAGCAAAGGCTCTGTGCCCATGTCCTCTCTTCCCCAAAGCCTTCCAGCCACACTCATAAAATCAGAGAACTTGAACTTGCACCCAGGGCAGAGCTTCCCTTGCTAACATTTGCAACAGATGGTCCCGTGGCCTCTGGGTGAAAATTTGCCACAACAGGCGCCTTTGTGAGTCGGTTTGCCATAGTCAGAAGCTCTAGTTGTTAGGAAGTTCTTCCTGGCAGGAAGCTGAAATCTGTCTCCCTGTACCTTTCCCCATTGGTCTTAGTTCTTGCCCCTGGAGCCTCCCAGAATGCACTGCTTCTAACAACACGTGAGAAGTTCAAAGGCGCTTGTCACTGCTGACACTTTGCTTCTCCAGCTAAACATCCCAGTCAGCTCCCTCTCAGGACCTCTGCTTTGTCAATGTCACCAGGAACAAATTCAGTATTCCACATGGGATCTGGCAGTGTGGTGTGGGACTTGGTCTGAGGCCCAAGTATTACCTAGTTTCCGATTGCTGCCTGGGACCTGCTGGCTTCCTGGACAAGCCACACCACCGTGGCAGCCTGGATGTGGGTATTTATCGTGTTAACTCTCCACTGTCTTACACCTGGGATCCAGTGTTTTGCAGAGCGTTCCATCCTCCCTAATCTATTTTTAAATTTTTTCTTTTTATTGTTGTTCTGGGTAGAGGTACGCTGTGGCGTTTACAAAAGTTCTTAAATATATCAAATATATCATAGTTGAATTCACCCCCTCCACCATTCTCCTTCATCCCACCTCCCCCATTCCTGGAAATAGTTTCAACAAGTCTCATTTTCCCTTTAATACATGAGTGCACAGTATTTTCCCCTCCCTAATCTATTTAATCTTATTACTTTCAGTCCAGATTTTATGGCATCTGCCTTCTGCATTTTCATCTTGTTGACAGATTTTTTTTTTTTTTTTTTTGGCTGGACTGGGGTTTGAACTCAGGGTGTTGAACTTTCTGGGCAGGTGCTCTGCCACTTGAGCCACACTTTGGTTATCTTTTGAGTAGGGATTTCATGTTTATTCCTGGACCGTCATCCTCCTTTTCCATGCAGCTGGGATCACAGTTTTGTGTCACCACACCCAGCTTTATATTGGTTGAGATGGGGTCTTGCAAATTTTTCGCTTGGACTGGCCTCAAAATGTAATCCTCCCAATCTCTGCCTCCCCAGTAGCTAGGATTACAGGAGAGAGCCACTGAGCCTGGTAGAATTTTTTTAAAAAATAGGATAGAGTCAAGAACAGATGTGTAGTACATAAAAATAATGACCTCTAGCTCCAAAACGTGACATAGAACCATTAAATAACACTCTGAGTGTTTTTATTATTTTCTGGCCACCTCTCTCTCTCTCTCTCTCTCTCTCTCTCTCTCTCTCTGATGCTAAGACAGATAACATTCAGTTATCTACAATTAAATCTGCAGTCAGGCACTTTGTCTCAAGCCTGCAATCCTAGCTACTTGGGAGGTGGAGATTAGGAGGATGGTGGTTCGAGGCCAGCTGGGCAATGTTTGTGTAACTTGATCTCAACCAATGGCTGGGTGCACATCTGTCATGCTAGTTATACAGGAAAGTACAAACAGGAGTACAGTGGTCCAGGCCTTGAGGCCCTATCTCATCCGGAGTCCAACTCCTACTACCCCCCAAAAACAGTCTGCAGCTCTTCCCAGGTTTAGTCTACAGCCCCATCATCAGGGTAAATTAAAAACTCAGAGGTAAATGGAACGAGGTCTTGGTGATGAGTAGGCGGAGGGAGTCTATACAATCGTGAAGCTTGCTGCTGCCAATTTTTAAAAAAACAATTTTTTATTCTCTTCTTATTTTTTCCAAGAAAGCAAGGTTCTGATTTCTTTCCTGCCCAGGAGATCTGTAGTGCGACACAAGTCCCATTCCTCCTCCTTTTCTCCTCTCTGGGCCTGTGAGACGTTCCCATTCTCAGCCTTACTGACGTACACAGTAATCAAGCAGCACTGACTTTTCTGCAGGGTGTGTTTTGTTAGCATCATTGTATCGCTGTTTCTAAATCCTGATGACACCTGATAGACCATAGATCATGCTCAGCCCTCCGTCCCAAAGCCACAATTGTACCCTGTTAGGGACACTGACGCAGGAAGATGCCAGGCCACTGTGTGGCTGCCCGTCTCCTTTTCATGCCTCACCAGGAATATCCTCTATTACATCCCTTTTGGAAGCACAATCTTTGTTTTCCTGATGATGGCTTCCTTAGAGCTCTCATGCCATTGATCTCACCATGGCTTTAGGTATGTCACTGTGTGCCCCACGCTTTCGTTTCTATACCTCTGTTTCCCTCATTAGTGATACACTTCTGTTCGTAGCTTCCTCAGCGGCATCATCAGGTCAGGCACACTGTAGGTTCACAGTGTGAATGGATTGGGGGGAGTGTTAGCAATTACACAGATGCTGTCGTGGGGTTTCCTGATCAGTGTCCCTGCCAGGATCAACATATGTGTTGTTCCCCAGTGAGTCCTTTCCTAGCACGGGTTCCCCGTGGAACCCACCGCTCCATGATCATGGTGCAATAGGGGTTCAGATGCTTGCCCCATGGAGTCCAAGTGGGGAAGATGGGGGCAGAGGGGTCTGCGATGAGCTTTGATTTCTGTCTAACCTGAACCCTGTAGCTTGCTTTCAACAACTAAGTCAGTCACCTTGTGGACACTCAGTATTCATTTGAGCCAAATGGCATGGGCCATGGCTTAAGACTGGCTTCTCCGAGTGAACCTGGGGCAGAGGAGCCTCTTAGAAAATTCTCCTGTTATTTGTTGCCCTGAGCTGCTATCCAGGACTCATTAGAAGACTGGAAGACAGGGAAGGCCAACTCCTTTAGGACTTTAACTGCCCCCCACAATCCCAGGCATAACACCAAGAATTGTGACCACTACCGCTGTGGACACTGTCCACATGCCACGACCAGGGCAGTAGGGAGCCCTCAGCCCTGGGGGCAGGACTTTCAGACACAGTGATGCAAGTTTCTTTCTCAGCCATCTGATGGTTAGTGGAGCTCATGTGAAAACGCCTGCAGCTCTACATCAGGATGGAGAGAGCTGCAGGGGAGAGGGGTCCTCAGCCACTTCCTCAGACAAACCCAGGGAGTGCCATCCACCCCTTTTGTGAGGGACCCCATGCCATTTTTTTTTTTATGAACTCATTGACAGCCTCCTCGGTGAGTCCATGGAGTTCTGTTGACCTGAAGTCTGTTAGGCTGGAAGAGCAAGTGGGGCTATGGAGGCTGTGAGAGAAAGACCAGTGAATGCCGGCAGTAGTGTGGATCTTAAATGTCCCCAAAGGCCCATGTGTTGAAGGCATGGTCCCCAGCATGGCACTATTGGGAGCTGGTGGAACCTTTAAGAGGTGGGGCCTAGTGGGAGGTGGAGGTGTCTTTGAAGAGGATTATGGGACCCTGGTATCTTTCTCTCTCTTTCTTTCATTGCCATGAGGTGAATAGGTTTCCTCTCCCATGTGCTCCCATGATGTGCTGCCCATCACATCAAAGGCATAAAAATAATAAATCCAACCAATGATCCACCGAACCTCCAAAAAGTGAGTCAAAATCAATCTTTCCTCTTTGAAAGCTGATTGTCTCAAGTGTTTTGTTACAGTAATGGAAAGCTGACTAGCACACTGTCCTACACAGCTCTTCAGCCTCAGAACCACAGCCTTCATTACATGCTTTCTGGTCTGTCTATTAATCATCTCATGTATTTTCACTTGCTAGATTAGACATAATTTGAAAACAGGGACCATGGCTTAATTTCTTTTTCTCGTATTACCCACTAGGTTTTAACTGTTTTGTGAACTACCCCCAAATCTCACATTGTTAGGATCCCAAGGTAAATAAGAGCTGTACCTACCAAGGGTCGGAGGTCAGGGTGAGAGAGGATGTACCCGTTGTTAGTGTTCAAAAAGGCATAGCCATGCACGCCGAGCTGCCAAAATAGGGAGTGAGGCCATTAGACCGTTGTCTGTGGTGGGTGACGGAGTTGGGAGGGGTTGGGGTGCAGGTGGTTAAAGACCAGCAGCTGACAGCAGTGGATCCAAATGGGAATCTCACTGAGCCAGGGTCACACTGCTACCCATTGGTTCTCGAGTCCTTTCCCAATCTATTGTTTGGAGCGACTGTGATAATGACCACCAATGCCTGACTCTTTTCAACTGCATACTCTAGGTGCTCACTCTGTGTGGATGTGAAGTGTGGCCTGGAGGAGCAGATTAAGAAACTGAGGCACCAGGTAGGGAAAGAACTTGTGAAGGCCACATGGCAAGTCATGATTAGTGGTGGAAAGGGCCCAGGAAGACAGGCACTGTTGTCATGGTCAACACCTGCACTTGTCAGGGGTCTCGATGGAGGGGCCTCCCAGCTCTGGGCAGGGAGAGGGGCTCCTTGACTTGTCATAGTTTGGGCCTTTTTTTTTTTTTTTGGTGGCAGTGGGGTTTGAACTTAGGGTCTTGCACTTGCTAGGCAGGTGCTCCACCACTTGAGGCACATGTCCAGCTCGGACCTTGAATGTCACCCAAAGGGCCTTGGGGCTTTGTTCACCAGCCTGTGGCCCTATTGGAAGGTGGTGGAACCTTGGAGGGTGGGGCCGAGTGGAAGGAAGTTAGGTCATTGGGGGTGTGCCCTGAAGGGGATACTGGGACCTGGCCCTGTCCTGTCTATCTTTGCTTCCTGACTACCATGAGGTGAAAAGGTTTCCTCTGTCAGTCACTTATGCCATGCTGCTCCGCCTTGCCACAGGACTGAATGATTGTAGACTAAAACCTCTGGAACCATGAGCCAAGATAAACTTTTCTACTTTTTAAGTTTATTTTCTCAGGTGTTTTGTCACGGTGATAGGAAGCTGACTGACACAGCTCCTTAGGATGCTCACTCAGGCTCACCTTGTAGCGGGGTGCCAGCTTCATGAGCTCTCTCAGGGTCACATCAGAGCCCACCACACCCAGGAGAATGCCATGGGATCTCTGGAAGGAAGAACAGGTGGGTCAGGGGACCCAGCTCCCCTGTGACAAGGCCAGAGTAAACCCTATGCCTCTCCAGATCCCAGAAGAGGAAGCCACTTAGGTCTGAACTGGACCTTCCTCTGAAGTTAGAGTGTAGACTGAGCTCTTGGAATAAAAATTCAGAACCCATAAGAAAAGGCACCAGGAGCAGTCTCAGCTGCCGGGAAGATTAATGCCTGGTATTAATATTTAAGTGATAATATTTAAATGAAATACAAAGTTGAATGAAATATTAATCTTCGCAGAGAGGCTAAACTACCGGGCCCTTGGGGACGATGAGTTGTAAGTGCCCTGCAGTGCAGGAAGCGTTTCTTCCCCAGATGGAGGACAGAAGGCTCTAGAAATTTCTGTTACAAAGAAGTTACAGCCTACCCATCTTGGTAGGCTAAGTGTGGTTTTACTGGTTGGTTGGAAGAACACCCCTCTAGCCAGATGTCCCCAAGGACAGAGCAGGGAATGAGCCCTAGCTGACTGTAGAACCCTGAGGGCTGCCCCACTGCCAGCCAAGAAAACCCCATGTCGCTGGGATGGGGCCTGGGAACCTGCATTTAAACTCCTCCATGGGGCTCTGATGCTTAGCTCAGCCAGGAACCCAGTCTAAAGATGCCAGCCAGCAGTCCCAAGTCCTAAGCCCTCCTGCCCCCTGTTGGAGCGGTCACTCACCGTCTCGTTCTTTTTGCTGAAGACAGGCATGGCCACAGTGGTGAGGAGCATCAGGCTCTGCGCCTTCGAGGGGAAGAGCTGCCAGGGAGGAGGGGCAGAGGTCAGGGGTCAGAGGGCCTGAGGGCCCTGTCGGTTTGCTGCACTCAGAGCACAGTGTGGAGAAGCAGTCGTTGATACTTTCCAGGGGGAAGGAAGGAATTACAAGGATTTCCCTTCTGTGTGGGTGGGACTGCTGAGTCCACAGCCCAGCTCCTGAGTCTGTCACTAAGCTCCCACCCTGACCTCTGGGAGCCCAGGAAACGGGCCCGTTCTGTGGGCTCAGCTCTGCTCGAGCTTTTCCAGAAGCCTCTGACACAACCCTGAGGTTGCTGCAAACTGTGGCCCAGGCCAATTATGGGGAAGAAGGACCTTGCCCCAGACAACCCTCCAACATAAGCATGTGTATGAGGAACCATGGTGCAAGGGCAGGGCATGGTGCAGCTGTCATGTGCCTTGAGTCACCCCTAACACACACACACACACACACACACACACACACACACACACACACATGGGACTGACCCACAGTTCTCTTGGGAAAGGAAGGACATTGGACTACGGGCTCTCTTCCTTACCTCAACTGATGTTTCAATGTAGAGTTGGGGTGCAAGTTATTTTGTAAGTGGCCACGTGGCTATCTAGTTTTGTTTTGGGCCCGGACACACCTCGGTTGGCTCCATAAAGGCTTTGGAGTCTCTGTGAGTGAGCTGTTGATTTGTGAAGCTGGAGGTGTGCCTGCAGGGAAGCAGCTCCCCCACCCCCCGGTTCTTGGCAGGTCCCTCCTGTTCCTCCTTCCCCTCCCTTAGGGATCATCTCATTCCCAGTGGGTCCCGCACTCTTGTCTCTGGATGCAGAGTAGAGACACCTGTCCACTCAGCAGACTCCCATTCTCATCTCAAAAGTGGGTCCAGGCAGTCCACAGGTGAGCCTTGACTCCAGGAGCTCTGAGATCATGGAGGAGAGGGAAGGAGGCTAACAGTGGGGTATAAACTAGAGGGTTAATTGAGGGGAACTGTGTCATTTCTTAAAGCAAAGAGAAGACTGTGACCTCCCCCTCGTGGGCTTAGAGGGAAGCAGAGACCATGGAAGACCACATCGTCCATGAAGTGCCCAAGGACAGCCTGGCATAACCTGTCTGAAATCACTCCTATATTGTCACAAGGAGCAAGGTTCTGCCTCCACTCACCTTTGTTCTCCTTCTTGTCCCTTCTGCCAAACCCACGCCCAACACTACCACTCCTAGGTGTGGTCCTACGTTTCAGGCCCAGGCTCCTCTCTCTGGGCTTCTTTGGGGTTCTGAAGGACACCCCCCTCCAGCTCCTTGGCACGACCCCACACTCACATGTGAAGGAAGCACACAGGGCATGCTGGGAGGCGGCCCTCCTCAGGCCTCACAGGGGATGTCACTGTGGATGGTGGGTGATGGAAAATGGAGAAGCAAAAAGTGGACATTTCTCTCACTGACCAGGGACGGACAGGGCCCTGTGACCAGTGGGCATCTGCACGGGGCAAGGGGACATGGGCCCAAGTGGATTTCTTCCCTGTGGACCTTGGCCCAGAGAGCAGCAGGTGGCATCTCCTGGGCAGGAGTTTCGTGTGACTTTTGTCCCAAACTTGGCAAGATGGTTCACATCTCCCATTCAGAAGTGGGGGCAATTGTGCCTCTGCCCTCAGACACAGAGTAAGGCAGAAGAAATGCAAAAAGTGTGGCTTCCCAGCCTCCTCTGCCACACTTGACAGTTCTGGTCCCTGAGAGGGAAGTGATGAGTCCTCATAACTTCCTTTGAAGGGGTGGAGCCGGCTCCTTCCTTCCCCTTCCTTCCCTCCTGATCCTGATGCTTACACTGTGGTCTCTGCCCCAGCAGCTGCTGGGAGCAGGGAGATAAGGGTCACATGCTGGGGATGGTGAAAGTGACAGCAGGAAAGAGCGTGGGTTCCTGAGGACCAGACCTCTCTACTTCTTCCACAAGAGGGAGAGACACACCTATCTTATTTAGACTGCTATTCCAGGTCACTCTTAGTCCCAGTTGTCATCACTAATGCAGGTGGCTGCACCTGTGATGTGACATGAGAAGTGGCAGGAAGGTCCCTCTCCCCTAAAAACTCCTTATCTGGCATTCTATCTTCGATATCTACTCCTCTGTGTGACACATTGCTTCCTCCAGCCTCTTTGAACGTAAGGATCCCCAGGGAAAAGGTATAGGATGGTGAACTATCAGGGTGACTGCTTCTTTCCTATGGCAGTTGGGAGAGGACAATGAAGGGGACAGGGCAGGGGGACTCCTTTGGAGTAGGTGCCCTGTCCATGGAGGGCAGCCTGGGACAGGTCAGCGGGGGGCTCCAAGGCAGTACACAGTACACAGGCGGACGGGCAGTGGCCCTGTTGGGCGGAGGGGGCTGGGAAGGGGGAGAAACACCTGGAAGACTTTCATTCCCTCCTCCTGGCTCTCCCTGGGGAGGGTCGAAGCTCATCCCTCTGACGGGAAGCCACCTCTTGCCCTTGGTCCCTCACTCTGCCACCCACTCCCTCCCCAGGCCTGGAGTGGCATCAGACCCACCTTGCTGTCCATGTAGGCCTCCGTCCAGATGATGTCATGGCCACGGTTGATGGCCATGGGGCGGCTGAGCACGTGCAGGTACTCCATCACGTTCTCCTGGGCGTCAGCCAACGTGGAGATCTGCGTGTAGTAGCCTGGCAAGGGGAGGTTGTGTGGTTGGAGCATTCAGAGGGGTCTCCGGCTGGTCCTGGGTGGGGTCTACACGCCCTTCCCCAGCTGCCAATGACTCACAGCTGGGCCCCTCTCTGGGAACAGGTGACCACAGCAAACTGCTTCCTCAAGGTCATGCCCGGCCTCCCAGGGGCAGCTGGGAGACAAGACCCACTCTGCCTCAACTCGGGAGATCTGGGGGTGGGGTCCCAGCTCCAGAGCTCCTGGTGGAGCAGCAGGGCCCTTGATTGTGACAGCAGCACCCCTAAAAGGCCCCTACCTGTGACTGTCTCTAGGGTTTATTTTCAGGGCCCCAGTCTAAGGTGGACTCTGTTCTCCTTTGCCCCGCAACCTGTTTCCCTGATCCTGTCCTTTCTCAGGCTTGGCGTGCCTCCTCGCTGTAGACGCAGTGTGATTTCAAAGAGCACACGGCTTACAGGGCTACAAATGGGGTAGTGTGTTTACCTCTTGGCCTCACTGTTCATTACCTCCATAAACCATCCATTCCATGTGCCAGTAAGATGGGACAGCTTTTGTCCCATCATGCCTTGTCTTACAACCCCTGAGCGTCTGAAAGACCCTTCTCCACCAGTCCCCAAACTGGGGATGGGCTTCTTTGGCATTGTGGCACATTTCTGATCTGGGGCTCACTTGCTGGATTATATCAATAATGAGGCTGATCCTGAGTCCATCCTGACCACTCCTGACTCCCCCATGCCTAGAAACAGTGCCAGGGGCACAGCAGATGCTAGTAAAGCTCTGTTGAGTCAAAAGAACCCTAAGATGGCACTGTAAAGCCAGGCTTAGGGTTCTGGCCTGAGATAAAGGAGAACCGTATGCACATAAAATATTATTCCAAAGAAAACGGTGACCTGCCTGGTATGGTGGCACACACCTGTAATCCCAACACTTGGGAGGCTGAGATAGGAGGATCACAAGTTTGAGGCCAGTCTGGCCTACGTAGGGAGACCCTGTCTCAAAAAAAAAAAGCAGATGCAATGGCTCACATCTATAATCCCAGTTACTCAGGAAGCAGAAATGGGAAGGATTGAGGTTCAAAGTCAGCCAGGGCAAAAAAGTTGGTGAGATCCCATTTGAACCAACAACCGGCTGTGGAAGTACATGCCTGTCATTCTAGCTTCTCAGGAGGCATAAACAGCAAAATGTTGGTCCCAGGCCAGCCAAGGGCAAAAATGCAAAACCCTACCTGAAAAGTAACTAAAGCAAGAGGGGCTGGGGGAGTGGCTCAACTGGTAGAACGCTTGCTTAGCAAGCACGAGGCCCTGAGTTCAAATCCCAGTACGGGAGAAAAATGGCAACCCTCTGCTTTTGTTTTTGAGCTGACATTGAAAACGCGGGTCCTTGCCCCACCTCTCACCTGCCTTATATATTGAGGCTTTCTTCAAGCCTTTGTTTGAAGTCTTTCTTGTGCACTTGAATAGAGGACTGGTGCATTCCTCAAGGCTTAGTGGAGAAATCTACCTTCCATCTTGCTTTCTCCAACAGGCAGAGGTGTCGTTTCACAACGCTCCCTCCCCTGCCAGGCTTCCCGGGGCGGGGCGGGGCGCCCGAGGACTGCTGTACCGCCTGTGCTCTGCTGGGCCACTCACCCTTGTTGTTGCACGCGATCCACTTCATTCGCTCAGCAAAAGTCACTTCTCTTCCAATCAGGTAAGTGAAAACTCGGACCTAATCCGCAAGACACAGAGTGACTGGGCAGTGGCAGTGCTGTCACCACCGTTTATGTGAGGCTTAGCTGCTGGGCCAAGCAGTGCTCTGGCTTTGGGTTCTCCAGTCACACCCCCTTTTGGTCAGAGAAGACCCCAAGACCTGGGCAGAAATATGACTTGTCCAAGGTCATGGTGAGCAGTAGCAGGTTCAAGGTCAGGCAGCCTGGCAAGTTTTTTGTTTGTTTTTGATTTTGTAGTACTGGGGTTTGAGCTGGCATTCTGCCACTTGAATCACATCCCAGCCCTTCTGTGCTTTGGATTTTTTTTGGACAAGGTCTAGCATTTTTGCCCCGATGAGCCTGGACTGTGATCCTTGTACCTACGGCCTCCAGCATTGCTGGAATCACAGGCGTGTACCACCATACTGGGCTTGTTGGTTGAGATAGGGTCTCACTAACTTTTTGCCCAGGCTGACCTTGAATCTCCACTCCCCCAATCTCTGCCTCCCGAGTAGCTAGGATTATAGACGTGAAGCACTGTGCCCAGCGTCCTGACAGTTTTTTTTCTTTTCTCCTTTTATTTTATCATTTTTACATTTACTTACATGCATATACATTGTTTGTGCCACCTGCCCCTGCTCCCACTTCCCCCCAACCCCAGCTCCTGGGCAGAACCTGTTCTGCTCTCTTTTCTCTGGTTATGTTTTTTTTTTTTTTTTCAGGTATAATATGCCTTTAATTACTTCTTTTGCTGCATTCTACAGGTATTTAAGGAGTTATTTATTATTTCATTATTATTTAGTTCCAGGCATTTTCTTTCTTTCTTTTCTTTTTTTTTTCATTTTGTTTATTCATATGTGCATACAATGTTTGGGTCATTTCTTCCCCCTTCCCCTCGCCTCCTCCCTTACTCCCCCAACCCCTCGCTACCCGGCAGAAACTATTTTGCCCTTATCTCTAATTTTGTTGAAGACAGAGTATAAGCAATAATAGGAAGGAACAAGGGTTTTTGCTGGTTGAGATAAGGATAGCTATACAGGCAGTTGACTCGCATTGATTTCCTGTGCGTGTTTGTTACCTTCTAGGTTAATTCTTTTTGATCTCACCTTTTCTCTAGTTCCTGGTCCCCTTCTCCTATTGGCCTCGGTTGCTTTAAAGTATCTGCTTTAGTTTTTCTGTGTTGAGGGCAACAAATGCTATCTAGTTTTTTGGGTGTCTTACCTATCCTCACACCTCCCTTGTGTGCTCTTGCTTTTATCATGTGCTCAAAGTCCAATCCCCTTGTTGTGTTTGCCCTTGATCTAATGTCCACATATGAGGGAGAACATACGATTTTTGGTCTTTTGGGCTCTGGTTATGTTGAGGAGAAAATATAGGAGATAATAAGAAAGACACAGCATTTGTGCTAGTTTGAGATAAAGATAGCTATACACAGAGATTCCTAGCATTGCTTCCATGCACTTGTGTATTGCAACCCATGTTGGTTCATCTCTACCAGACTTCTTCTCTACTTCCTGGTCACCTTCCCATAGTGGCCTCTGCCAGTTTAAGATTACTTTATTTGCTCCTCTACAGGGAGCACATCAACCACATTCAAGTTTTAGGTTTCCCAAAGGAGCTAAAAATATACAATGGAGAAATAGCAGCCTCTTCAACAAGAACTGCTGGGAAAACTGGTTAGCAGTCTGCAAAAAACTGAAACTAGATCCATGTATATCACCCTATACCAAGATTAACTCAAAATGGATCAAGGATCTTAATATCAGACCACAAACTCTAAAGTTGATACAAGAAAGAGTAGGAAATACTCTGGAGTTAGTAGGTATAGGTAAGAACTTTCTCAATGAAACCCCAGCAGCACAGCAACTAAGAGACAGCATAGATAAATGGGACCTCATAAAACTAAAAAGCTTCTGTTCATCAAAAGAAATGGTCTCTAAACTGAAGAGAACACCCACAGAGTGGGAGAAAATATTTGCCAACTATACATCAGACAAAGGACTGATAACCGGAATATACAGGGAACTTAAAAAACTAAATTCTCCCAAAACTAATGAACCAATAAAGAAATGGGCACGTGAACTAAACAGAACTTTCTCAAAAGAAGAAATTCAAATGGCCAGAAAACACATGAAAAATGCTCACCATCTCTAGCAATAAAGGAAATGCAAATTAAAACCACGCTAAGATTCCACCTCACCCCTGTTAGAATAGCCATCATCAGCAACACCACCACCAACAGGTGTTGGCGAGGATGTGGGGAAAAAGGAACCCTCTTACACTGTTGGTGGGAATGTAGACTAGTACAACCACTCTGGAAAAAAATTTGGAGGCTACTTAAAAAGCTGGACATCGATCTACCATTTGATCCAGCAATACCACTCTTGGGGATATACCCAAAAGACTGTTACTCCAGAGGCACCTGCACATCCATGTTTATTGCGGCACTATTCACAATAGCCAAGTTATGGAAACAGCCAAGATGCCCCAGCACTGACGAATGGATTAAAAAATTGTGGCTAGAAGGTAACACCCACGCACAGGAAATCAATGTGAGTCAATGCCCTGTATAGCTATCCTTATCTCAACCAGCAAAAACCCTTGTTCCTTCCTATTATTGCTTATACTCTCTCTACAACAAAATTAGAAATAAGGGCAAAATAGTTTCTGCTGGGTATTGGGGGGGGAGAAGGAGGGGGCGGAGTGGGTGGTAAGGGAGGGGGTGGGGGCAGGGGGGAGAAATGAACCAAGCCTTGTATGCACATATGAATAATAAAAGAAAAATGAAAAAAAAAAAAAAGAAAATTACAATAAAAAAAAAAAGTTTTAGGTTTCCTTCCCTTTCCCTATTCCTCCTGTGCACGTTCTCCCCTTAGTGTGTGACCCATGTCCAAGAATATTGCTGCATTTGTTTTAGGTTTATAACCTGCATATGAGGGACAATAGCCTCAAAAAAAAATCAAATATATGAAGGATGTAAGTGACCTCTACAAGGAGAACTACAAACCACTGAAGAAAGAGATTGAGGAAGACTACAGAACGTGGAGAGATCTCCCGTACTCATGGATTGGTAGAATCAACATAGTAAAAATGGTTATACTCCCAAAAGTAATCTACATGTTTAATGCAATTCCATCAAAATCCCAATGACATTCATCACAGAGATTGAAAAATCTACCGTTAAATTCATTTGGAAACACAAGAGGCCACGAATAGCGAAGGCAATACTCAGCAAAAAGAGCAATGCTGGAGGTATCACAATATCTGATTTCAAACTATATCACAAAGCCATAGCAATAAAAACAGCATGGTACTGGCACAAAAACAGATACAAAGATCAGTGGAACAGAATAGAGGACCCAGATATGAATCCACACAGCTATGCCCACCTTATTTTTGACAAAGGCTCCAAAAACATGACGGAGAAAAGACAGCCTCTGCAACAAACATTGCCGACAGTTCCTGAGTCTCAAAACCATAGTTTGTCCTTTACCCTGAGGCTCCTCACACAGCCTGGGCCTAGGGTCACCATAGACTTGGGACACCATTAGGGATATATCTGAGTTTATGAGTGGATTGAACGGAAAGGTCTTTGAACTTGGGGCTACTCCATTGCGACAATGGAGCACCTTACCACAATGGTGGGAGACCTCTCTCCATAGCAGCAGGAGAAGCTCCCCTTCCCTATGATGTCCAGAAGGACAGTCACCTTGCGGTCCGGCCAGTTATACTCCTCAAACACTTGCTCGTATCCCTCCACAGCCCCGTCAGTGATCAGCATGATGACCTGGTTGCAGAGACTTCCTTGCCTGGCCTCTTGGAACTGTGTGACAGGGAAGGCACCGTCACCACAGGTCGTGACCGGCCCTCCCTCTACTATCACCCTCCCTCCTACGTCCCCCATTCTTCCGGGCAGCACCTGCTTGAGGATCTGGAAGGCCTCGCTCAGGGCTCGGTTCACCACCCCCACGCCTTTGACCATCAGTTCCTCCACCAGCTGTTTGAAATGCTGTCAGAGTAAACAGAGTTGGCTCAGGGGACCAGGCCTGGTGCAGCCAGAGGACAAGCCTCAGGGCCCTGGGTTCCGACACAGCCAATGGCATTACAGGACACCAATAGCTATTTCCCCCAACACCCCAGTGAGAAGCTGTGTGAACCGCTTGCTCCAAATCTGTGTCCCCTACTAGAAGGAAGGGCCAAGTGTGAGGCCCATCAGAAGGGAAGGACAGTGCAGGGGCAGAAATGAGGGATGTCCTTGCATCAGGGGAGGGGAGAAGCTGTGGAGGTGCAGGGGGCTGAGGCCAGGATTTTAGAGGATGCCAACCCCTCCCCCATCACAGGATGCATAAAAGTCTCTCTTCAAAAAGAGTTGCCACGTCCTTTGTCTTGGGTCTTTTATCAGAGGAAAGGACTTGACCCACTGGTTTTGACCAGTGCTCCTCATGAAGTGTGGAAAGGCCCACATGGGGAGCAAAGGGGAAACTGAGCCTGATCCTCTACAGAGAGTGCAAGTCTAGTCCCGAGACAGGGAGGCCCCTTAAACTGAGGCCTGTGGCTCACTGCTTGTTCTGATAAGCCACAGATGAGGATCGAGGATCAGGGCAGATGCTGGGCCTGCAAAGTGACTGCTGACTGGCTCTGCTCCTTACAGGCGCCATGGGGTAGGCAAAGAGCCCGAGGCCATCAGCCTGACAGGAGCATCAGCTGCACATGGCCACTCACCTCTCGGTTGTCCCGATCGGCCTGGACGAGGATGCCTTTAAAACAGGGCTCGATATAGTGGACGTAGTCGTTGTACTGTGGTTGCGGGGGGAGGGCAATGAGGAGAGAGAATACACAGATGGATGTAGAAGGTCATGGCCAGAGTGGGGCTTGGACGACTGGGGTGCCCTGGGTGGGGCTCACTTCAGCACCCATGCAGTCTTGTCTTGGAGTATCTGAGCAGAGGGAGCAGTGGGGCCTCCACTCTCCAACTCCTCCCCCAGTCTGGTCCTGGCGTGTTATCTCAGTTGGCTGGGAGAGTGACACTTACAGTTCATGTGGACCCTGCAGCTATGAGGAAATTCCACTCCCCCACCACACCGTCTGAGACCACTGAATCTCACGGCCTCGTGCCCACAGGCCCCTCCCCAGCAAGCCTGAGCTGAGGATTCCAAACTGTGCTATTTTTCTTTTTAATGAGTTCTTGCTGGGTAGCTCAGGGCTGGCCTCAAACTCAGGGTCCTCCTCCTCAGCCTCCCTAGTGCTGGGATTACAGGAGTGCACAGCCATGCCAGCTCTTTTGCTCTTTTCCCTGCACATATGTAGAGGATCCTTCAGCTATTGGAGTGGGAGTGGGGGTGGGGGGAGGTGAGGGTGGTAGAGCAGGGAGAAGAATGAATTGTTAATCACCCTGGTTTCCCATGGTTAGAGCACAAATCTTGAGGTGTTTTAAATCTACCTTCTGCTTAAGTCAGAGGGGACAGGAGGGGACACAGTGATGACAATAGGAGACCTACCTGCATGGGTGTTATAGGGGAATGCTGGGAGTAAATGCTCCCCCTAGTGGCCATACCCCACGAGCAGGGGAAGCAGAGCAGGAGGTGGAGAGCAGGGTGGGTGTGCTCCAAGAGATGAGTGCTCCATGCTGTCTGTGGAGCGTAGCCATCTTGTCACTGGTGAGGATAAGGGCAAAAGGATAGAGAGGAGAACAACCCAGGGAGGGCATGGCCAGGAGTGATGCTGGTGGCTAAGCCGAGGTCCTGGGCCTGGGGGACAGTCTCACGTCAGCCCGGTCATCATGAAGTCACACACCTTTATTTTGGCATTTCCTTGGTTACTAAGTAAACTCCCCCACAACTAAGAGAATTCAGTGATGCGGCAGACTGACGGAGGAGGGCCCTGGATTAGGTGGCTTTCAAATGATACTCGGGATGGTTCATGCTGCCTCTGCAGGGTTGAAGAGGCCCACCCTTTTGTTGTATTTTTAAAGCATTCTCTTAACTGTGTCTCCCTTTCCTATCTTCTTTGTTCCTCCTTTATCTCGTTGTATCTGGATTTGGCGGGGATAAAAAGGTGGGAGACTGGAATTGTCATAAAGCAAGAACACCAGATCATCCAGCCTACTGCAGAGTGAAGAAGCTATTCACCAACAATACTGTCAAAAGCACACGGGCTGGGAGTGCTAGCTCACTCCTGTAATCCAAGCTACTCAGGAGGTGGAGAGTGGGAGGACTGGCTCTCAAGGCAGCTTGAGCAAACAGTTAGTGAGACCCCATCTCAATCAATGAAAAGCTGGGCATGGTGGCACATGCCTGTCATTCCAGATACTTGGGAAGCATAAATAGAAGGATCACAGTCCAGCATGAAAGTGAGACCTTATCATGACAATAACTAAAGAAAAAAGAACTGAGGGTGTGGCTCAGGTGATAGAGCCCCTGCCTAGCAAGCACAGGTCCTGAGTTCAAACCCCAGTACCACTAAAGAGAGAGAGAGAGAGAGAGAGAGAGAACTCAGGACCTGTGGTTCTTCACTTGTATCAGATCCCAGACTCTCTGAGAAACTGATGTCAGGAAAATGGATGTGCACATTTTACGTGTAATTATAGACAATTTATGGGCCTCTTAAAGTCACTCTCAGGTGACCATGGTCCCCAGGCTAGGACCCTCAGTTTGGGTAAGGAGTCGTTTTACGGGAGGAGAGGTTGGTGGCCACAACTGGGAGGAAGATTTTCTAAAGCAGTGCGAGCCACTGAGAACAGGAAGTCACAGTTACCGCGATGATGTTAACGAAGTCGTTCTCTCCCAGGGTGTCCAAGATGGTGGATGATGGTGTGCTTGGCAATGGCTATCCTGAGCCCCTTCATGCTGCCACTCACGTCCACCACGATCACCATATCCTTGGGAGAGGTAGCGGCTTGGATGTACCTGGAGCACAAAGACAGGGACAGGCCATGGATGGGAAGCCAGAGCCGGGACAGCCACCTGAGCAGAGCCTCCCGTATTTCTACTCAGACTTGTGCTCCAGTGCATCTGACGTTCAGATCGATGCCACCTGGGCTAGGCTTCATCCTTTCCCACAAGCACTGGACACTAATGAAGCCATTTGGGGTGGCAGTAATTGGGAATGTGTCCACCTGATGGGCTGGTGGAGTCCAGGGTAATCCTTGTCTTTTTTGGCTTAGACCAGGTAGGATCCCCCAGGGACTGGTAGCAGGAAAAGAGAGGGTTGGGGTCCAGCCTCAGATTTGCCAAGAAAGGGATGTAGAGGGGAGGAGAGGACAGAGGCTGGTGCAGGTCAGCCCTGTGTCCTGGAATATGGTGGGAAGGGAAGAGAGGAGTGAAGCTGGGAGCTTTTCTCTCCGTGTTAGATTAAGGTTCTGCACCTCCAAGATCTTGGGTGGTGGGGGGAGGGGCAAGGCTATGAGATGAATGCCAGGATGGAATTCCTCTCCTCCGTGAGCACTTACCAGCCTCGGTTTCGGCAGTCAAAGGCAATGACTCCATTCTCATCAGGTGTCCATTTTATACCTAGGGAAGTAAAAGCTGAATCTTGTACTAGCTCAGAGAGACTTCCCGAACTGGGGTGCCAACTCCCAGGATAGCCATGACCCCCAGGGCAAGATCTGCTTTAGCTAAGGGCAGTAGAGTGAAGACCACATGTAGCTGGGTGCAGTGGCTCAGGCCTGTAATCCCACCTATTCAAGAACCTGAGATCAAGAGGATTGCAGTTTGAGGCCGGTCCAGGCAAAAAGTTCACAAGCCCCATCTCAACCAATAACAGCTGGGTGAGGTAGCACGCACCTGTTATCCCAGCTACACAGGAAGCACAAATAAGAGGATTATGGTCCAGGAAGTCCATCCTTCTCAAAAAATACTAAAGCAAAAATGGGTGGGATTGTGGCTCAATGGGTAGAGCTCCTGCCTAACAAGCACCCCCCACAAAGATATCCACACGTAGACACATCATAGTGAAACTGCAGGACTTCAAAGGCAAAATAAATACACACCCTGATGGCAGCCAGAAAAGCGAAAACACTTACACAGGAGCACCAGCTATACCGGCCACAGATTTTCTCACCACTAGAAGAAGCCAGAAGACAGCAGAAACCAGTTTTAAGATGCTGAGAGAAAAGACTGTTAATTCAGAATTGCATTTCCAGGAAAGCGTCATTCAAGAACAAGGACAGAAGAGAGTGTTGGAGAGAAATAAACAGAGCCCCACAGCAAGCAAGGAACCTGTGGAAGACTTGCTTCCAGAAGGAAAATTCCCTGGAAGAAGGCCAGCCTGGGACGTTACCATGGTACACGAGTAGTGTTTGTATCAAGTCAGACACAGTGTCTGATTTGTGGGGATGAAAAAAGGTTTTTTGGCAGTACTTGGGTTTGAACTCAGTGCCTTGTGCTTGCTAGGCAAGCTACCACTTGACCCATGCATCCAGCCTCTTCTGCTTTCATTATTTTTAAACAGACTCTTGTGTTTTGGTCCAGGCCAGCCTGGACCACTAGCCTCCTATTTCCATTTCCTGAGTAGCTGGAATGACAGGCATGTACCACTATACCCAGTTTTTTATTGCTTGAGATGGGATCTTGTGAACTTTTTGCCTGGGCTGTCCTCCAACTGTGATCCTCCAGATCTCTCCCTCCTGAGTAGCTGGGTTTACAAGCGTGAGCCACCATGCCCAGCTAGGGATGAAAAATTTTTAAATGTTACATCATGGTAGAATGAAAGTCAGAATAGGGGAAGGAGTTGGAGGCACAAACATTTTGAAGTCTTTTTATGGAAAGAATGCCTCTTTCGGGAGGCAAATAATAATATTAATCATTTCTAACATTCTTTGTGTTAACTACATCTCATGAGATTGCAGGTACTAAAGGAGTAGGAACAAGGGAGGACAATTTCTAAACCCATCGACGATAAAAATAAAGGAAATAATGGGAGGGGAGGCTTATCAAAAACGTTTGATCATTTCAAAAACAACAAAGGAGGCAATGAAACTAGTAAAAAATTTCAAATACGATCACAGCACACTGCAGTATGTCAACATTCTCAAGTGCAAATGTGCCCATCTTGCCAACGAGTACAAGGTATTGCCAGTTCAGACAAAAATTTAAAAGCTATAAAGTATTTTCAAAAGATCTGACTAAAACAAAATGACATTGAAAAAGATGAAAGTAAAGGGACGACAAAGTATATATCAGGCAGCTATTACCCAAGAACATGCTGGCATCACTGAATTTCAGACAGAGACTTATGGTGAAAAGTGTCATAGCATTGATGAGGCTCCAACAAACAAAAACCAGCAGTGATACAGAAAATGTAAGCGAGAGTGATCAAAATGCTTCATCTAATGACACACAGAATTTCCATCTCACAGAGGGCACACGCATTCTTCTCAAGCACACTGGGTTATTTAAAAAGTTGGATGACGTATCAGGCCATTAAAATACATCTCAGTTGGGTTGAGCATGGTGGAACACGCCTGTAATCCCAGCACTGGCAAGGCAGAAGGCAAGAGGATCGCCAGTTTGAGGCCAGCCTGGGCTACATAGTGAGACCCTGTCTTAAAAACAACAATAATGACATGAAAATAGCAACAATATCAAACCCCAAACTAAAACAACAACAGAAGCAGAAAACACCAAGATGCTGAGGATGGGGAGAAACTGGAGCCCTGTGCAGCTCTGTGAAACACAGCATGGCAGGTACTCCAAAACTTCCATCAGGAGTCCATGTGACCTCCTTGCCGGTAAGTAGGTACCTGAAAGGATTGAAAGCAGGGTCTGGAGAGATATTTGCACACCCATGTTCATAGCAGATTTACTGACATTATTCCCTGTACTAGAGGGAAGGGGGAGAGTGAATGGAGAAAGTGAAGGGTGAATATGGTGGGTGCATTATATTCTTGTATGAAAATAGAACAATGAAACTTGCTGAAGTTGTGTTAAGAGGGGAGCAGCGGAATGGAGGGAGGAATCTAAACAAGATACATTGTAAGCACATATGTAAATGTCACAATGAAACCCTCTTATACAACTAACATATACTAATAAATAATAAAAAACCCTCAAAATGTACATGATAGTAAATTTTAAGTTATATATATTTTATCTCAGTTAAAGATAAAATTTTTAAAACTACCATCAAAACTTGTGAGATGCAGCAAAAGTGTCACTTCTAGTGGTGCAGTACAACCTTCATACTTATTTTAGAAACATAGAAAGGCTAAAATTAAAACCATACTTCCATTTAAGAAGTTAGGAAGAGGGGTGACGGCATAAGTCCTAGCAGAGGGAAAGGAGAACACTGAAGTTGGAGCTAAAATGGATGAAATGGGAAAGCAAGGAACAGCAGAGAGCAGCCAACATGGCAAAACACGATTCTTGAAGGGCTGAGGTGAGGTTTAGGGATGAGAACGTGCCTAGGGTTCAAAGCCCTGGGTTCCATCGCCAGCATTGCAAAAAAAAAAAAAAATTCCTAGGAAAACAACAAATAAAGAAACCACTAGGAAATTAAGAAAAAAGTACATTAAAAAGGAAATAAAATTATAGATATAGAAGAGATTTAAAATGATAGATTTTGAATAAAAGTATTTAATTAACTTTTAAGGAGAAATAGAAAGCTATATTATTGTGTTGCAAGTGTTAAATGAAGTGGTAATTTCATATCTGCCCCCAAAAGAAAAACCCATCAGGCCTGTATGACTTTAGGGTTTTTTGTGTGTGTGGCAGTACTGTGGTTTGAACTCAGGACAGGTGCCTTACCACTTGAGCCTCTCTTCTAGGCCCTGTCTGAATTTATAGATGACTTCTATCAAGTTTTCAAGGAAAAGACCATTTTAACCTTATTCAAATACTTTCAGAAAACAAGAAACAGTGAAAATACTTTTCAATTTCTTTTATGAATCTAGTATAGTTTTATAAACCCAACAAGGATAATACAAGAAAAAAATTTACAATACCTTTTCACCTATAAATATAGATGCAAAAATCCTAAAGAAAAAACTAGTAAACCAAATTCAGCAGTGCATATAAAGATTTACTATAATTGTGTTTATGCAGAGGAATGCAAGGATGGGTTAACATGAGAAAACCAAAAGTTAAGTGAGCAGAATGCAATGTACATTTCACAGAGGAGGAAATACACACAGCCAGTGATCTACAGAGTAACACTGGACTTCATGAGTGCTCAGGAAAATGCAATGTCAGGCTACACTGAACTACATTCGACTCTAACAAAAATGGCTAACAAAGAATTTTAAAGTTCAACAGTCCCCACAGTTAGAGAAAATGTGAATTATTAGGATCGCTTAGTCATTACTTCTGAAAATATAATTAATGCCAGTGTTTTGAAAAACAACCTGTGATTTTCCTGTCAAAGTTAAACACCCCGATATCTTTAGACCTAGCAACTTTATTCCTAGGTCTCTCCCAGGAAAGAGACGTGTAAGATGGTTCACTGTTCTGAATGCGTAGCTCAGCTGTACAGCTGCTAACATGTGTAAGGGTCTCAGTTTGATCTCCAGTGCGCGCACACACACACACACACACACACACACACACACACGTTTACAGCAACACTGCTCATAAAAGTGAAAGACAAGCACAGGAAACAATCCAAACGAGATCAAGAGGATGGAAAGGCTGTGACAAAGATGTGACAATGCAGATGAATTTTGGAAGCATCATACTAAATTAAAAAAGCAAGTTCTAAAAGTGCATACACTAAAGCAGTTTTAAAGACAAGCAAAGCAGAGAGCATTCTGGGAAGATGGCAGAGTAGGATGATCTGCCCATCTAGACAGTAATTGCACTGTTAGAATCTGTCCGCTGGAACTATTTTGGAACTCCTGAGTCTATAAAAGGCTTGCAACTTGCAGGAGAAGCCTTTGATGGTAAATTGCAGTTAGTTTCTGTCAATTTCAGCTGTTAGCATAGTAGCTACCACCTCCCACTCCAGCCCAGGGCAGGCAGCTGTGAGCATATTATTAGAGAAGCTTGCACAAAGCTTGCAAGAGCCAGAGTTGGCAAAAAAGGACCCTGCCATCTGAATATGAAGGACCTGTGTTATGATTTCAATGACTGCTTCTGATAGCAGAAGTGCAGATAAAAAGGTATCTGGCTATTTTTGTTGTACCTCCCCACTTTATTGCAAGCCCCTCTCCCTCTAACTGAAATGACTTCCATGGGATTAAAAGGACAGGTCAGGCTTTGAGGCGTGGTTCAAAGTGATAGAGACCTGCCATGGGTTTAAACCCCAGTACTGCCAAAAAAAAAAAAAAAAAAAGGAAGTTACCCCAATTTTCCGACTTCATTTTCCCTTTTGGGACCCAGACATTAAAGACTGTAGCACTTTTTTAAAACAATTGCACATATGAGGAAAATTGTAAAGTAACTGCATTGCCAAATAAAGAGGCTAAGAGAGCTGAGAAAACCTTGCATTTAGACTTTAGAATGATCTTCAGTACAGAGTCAACCTACACCAGTACCACAAAGCAAAACAAATGAAGGGAAAATATAGTAAGCCCTGA